TTATCGTCTTTGTTATTGCACATTGTTAGCATTTAACTTGACAACCCGCACCTTGGGAATCTGATCTGTCGTCGTTTGTGTGTATTTCAACATCAGCATTTTAGATGAAACAGAAAGATCAATATCATGGCACGAGTATATGTTTAATCCCTCGCTAAGTTCAGTGTCACATCGACCTCGCTCTCTCTCTCTCTCGCTCTCTCTCTTTCTTTCTTTCTTTCTTTCTTTCTTTCTTTCTTTCTTTCTCTTTCTCTTTCTTTCTTTCTTTCTCTCTCTCTCTCTCTCTCTCTCTCTCTCTCTCTCTCTCTCTTCTCTCTCTCTCTCTCTCTCTCTCTCTCTCTCTCTCTCTCTCTCTCTCTCTCTCTCTCTCTCTCTCTCTCTCTCTCTCTCTCTCTCTCTCTCTCTCTGTCTCTTCTCTCTCTCTCTCTCTCTCTCTCGTCTCTCTCTCTCTCTCTCTCTCTCTCTTCTCTCTCTCTCTCTCTCTCTCTCTCTCTCTCTCTCTCTCTCTCTCTCTCTCTCTGAAACTTAATGTCCCTTTGTTCATTAACATTATAAAGAAATTACTATTCATTATAATCCTGATTTAATTCCGATGTTAAAGCGATATCTGCCCAATAGAATATTTTCCCAGATGTAGGCCTACTACACAGCACACGAATTCTAAAAATGGGTTTGTTTATTGTTTTCTTCTTCTGTTTTATCAAGTTTCTCAGGAAAAGCGCCTAAAAGGGGCTTGCGTACACAACAACCAGAAATCCCAGTGAGAGTTGCCAAGTGTGTGTGTGCGTACGTGTGTGTGAGTGTGTGTGTGTGTGTGTGTGTGTGTGTGTGTGTGTGTGTGTGTGTGTGTGTGTGTGTGTGTGTGTGTGTGTGTGTGTGTGTGTGTGTGTGTGTGTGCTTGAGTGATTGTGTGATCGCGTGTGTTTGTGTGTGTGTGTGATTGTGTATGTCTGTGGTGTGATTTTTGCGTGTGTGTGTTTGTGTGATTTTGTGACTGTATTTGTATATGTGCGTGTGTGTGTGCTGGTGTGAGTGAGTGTGTGTCTGTATGAGTGCGTGTGTATGCTGCTGTGAGTGTGTGTGTGTGTCTGTATTAGTTCGTGTGTGCGCTTATGTGAGTGTGTGTGCGTGTGTGTGTGTGTTCTGAATGGTTAGGAAAGATTTACGTTAACATGCTGTTGCAAGACCTTCAGATGAATATGTTTACAGTGACTTGCAACTGCAGATTCATTGGTACACGTATTTTTGACTGACTACTTTAAGAATTCATGGAATTTCTCTTTTTTCCTTAAATTACCTAACCTCTGATGAATTCACCATGTTTTTTATCACTTCATCCATCCTTTTTTAATTTTCTTTTTAGTTATCAAAATATCTTAGAAAAAAATTAACTTTCGACACTATAAACCACCATATCACAATACGCTACAATGAAAAAGATATATATATATATTATCTTGTAAAATAGCTCAAATCCTCCGAGGGATATTGAGTTATCCCATATATTTTTTTTCTCTCGACTTCAAGTGGAATTTGAACCTAAAGAAACCTTTGTTGTGGATACTTTAAGAGATCAGCTGTAGTTGTCAGTGTTGCAATTCAAAGACCCAAGTTACTCTTTTTCTCTCTATGGGAATTATTTTGACCCATTTCGATATTGATAATTGAGAAATGTCCATTAAATTCACATAAAATGGATATCTTGACACAACTAAATCTGTTATAAAATGTAAAATACTGGTAAAATTGAGAAATAGTAATAATGTATTTTTCCCCGGTTTTTAATTTATTAAGTGGGGAAAAAATGGCGGTGTTTCTATGAGGCTCTCCCCACTCGCTTTTAGTTTTTGAAAAATAGATATAAAATGGAAAATTATGTTATAGAGGCACTATGAACACGCCAAATTTACAGCACGTAATGATAACACATTTTGAGTCGAATTATTTCTTGCAGTAAGAAAAACGAAAGGGGATATTCGGTCCTGAGAGAGAGAGAGAGAGAGAGAGAGAGAGAGAGAGAGAAGAGAGAGAGAGAGAGAGAGAGAGAGAGAGAGAGAGGAGAGAGAGAGAGAGAGAGAGAGAGAGAGAGAGAGAGAGAGAGAGAGAGAGAGAGAGAGAGAGAGAGAGAGACATCAAGATAAATTTGTTGCTTATTTTAGAGAAATCGGTATGTGTCAGAGATAAACTACCCTTTATCAGATTCTAACAGTCACCACTCAAGCC